GATCACGTTTTTGATTTGCAACATTATTTGAATAGCATAATCGTATGGTTAAGGCGAGAGCAACGTGTTTCGAGTGTCTGACTGTCTAACGGAGCTTTCGAAAATTGTACGCCGAACAGTGGAGAATGCACTGAATGCACGAGTGGAGAATGAGGATCATCAGGAGTTGACATTGCAAAATATGAAGCTGCGTTCTTTGTTAGCCACAAAACGGTTTGTTGGCTTTTAATTGTCGAAGTTCTGAATGTCGGATTTGTTGAATCACTGCCAGTTCTTCATCACTACAGTAAATGGGAGAAATCAATTGGGCTGTCAAGCAAGGACATTTTTAATTCAGTTTTCTGCTGCAAGTGCCCTTCGGTATTTCACGGGTGCTTTATTTGTACGTTTACGCGTTCACCATGTGTTAAAGAGTCAAAATACCTTCTGCTTTAATCGTAGGCGTCCCTCTGTCGACATAGCTTTGGCAGCGAGCGGTTGCTTTTGGCAAGTTTTCAATCAGGAACCTTTTCCCAGTGTTCATATTTTACAAGGAAAATGCAATGCAGTACACGTGGACTACTGCCCTTTAAATTGTCATGAATTTCAGCGATCAGATTGCTACGCTGCGAACAGTGCTGAAATCCAATAAATTGACCGCTGAATCAGCGTTGGCTTCACTGAAAGAGAAATATGAAAGCGAAAAAGCGGCGACACATGATCTTCTGGAGAAGTTGAGACGTGAGCTCAAGGCTTTCAAAGAAGACGCAGCAACATTCGCATCACATCGAGCAATGTTTACAGCACGCTGTGAGGAGCTTCAAGCTCAGGTACCCAGCAGTTATTTCTCTTTTTTCTGGATTTTCAGGACACAGTCAAACCAAGGTTTCTCGTACAAGAAGTGTTTGTTTCAGATTACATGGAATTAAAATTTTGTTTGCAGGTTGATGAGATGGCTGCCAGTCAGAGAGCAGCTGAGGATGAGAAGCGCACTTTAAATTCGCTGCTGCGAATGGCTATCCAACAAAAATTAGCGCTTACGCAACGGTAACTTTTATAACAAACGTTTTCTTTTTATTTCAGCTTGTTCATCCGTCGTGCATTTTGTTTTCATAACCCTTGCATTCCTGCAGATTGGAAGATTTGGAAGTAGATCGTGAAAGACAAACTTTCAAACGCGGTAACAAAGCATCTGGTCGACTTGCAACATCGGATGGCTCTGGGCAGTTGCATCGTGTTCGCTATCCAGGACAAAACGCTCAACAACAGCAGAGGAATCTCAAGAGGGATTATTAGTTATTGGAAATTCGTATGTCTGTAAAGCGTTTGATTGATTAGCGGACGAAGAGTTTGAAAATATCTTTAAAGCGGGATAAAATCGAATCGAGGAACCTACGATGTGTATTTCGAAAATCTGTTAACCACACAGCTCCATATCGATAGTTCAGGCATACTGCCAATAGGTGTGAACGTCCATAAAGTTGCACATGTTTTCAAAACAACTGTTGTTGAATTTGATTCATTTCATCTGCGAAAGTTTTTTCAAAATTTTTCCATAAATCGTGACATTTTACATTGCCGAAATGTCCTGTTTTCATTGTTATCAAATTTCTCATTAACATAGCAGGAAGGAATTTTTGTGAAGAGAAATTCACGTCCCGACTCAAATTTTT